CCCAGTGTCTTTCTTATTTCTTGTAGTATTATTTTTACACAGTTTCACTTCGTAAACTGGTATTTTACTTCGGATTATGATCAAAATTTAATAAAACATTCGGTACGTCCACCTCACACGTTGTCTGCAACATACAACTTTATAATTTGTGGTCTGCAACGCGACTTCACGACTTGCTTACTAGCTTGACTTGACTTGCTAGCTTGCTACATATTTATTTATCTATGACTTGTAAGTCAAAAATGAAAACATCGATGTTTTAACATCGATGTTAATAAGCCCATAATCGATTATTGGGTACTTGCAAACATTGTGAACCCGCGAAATCAATATCAACTAAATCTTGCATCTTTTATAAAATATTTAAAATTTGTAGCGCGCTGATACTTACCTGTGTCATCCGATGTCTCGCTATCCCCTCTCGTCCGATGCCCCGCCTGCGCCACGGGATCACCCGACTCGACCAAACCTTTGACTGCTGGTACAAGCAGTACGCTAGCCGAATAGCTCCGAGGTATATGTGTATTATTGATTGCTCCCGCGATCGCGCTGCGTTTCACGAGACGCTGTTTATAAACTTACGTGTCAATAGTTGCGTATATGTATATGTTACTATTTAAGTGAATAAACTGTGCATTCGGATTATTTGTAACGCTTCATTTATCATGCGTGACCCTCACTGGACCTTCACTTGGTAGTAGACATATTCTAGGTTATCTTGATGATCTATTGCTTATTTCAGAGGACCTTGAGTCCCATTTGTCTGTTTTACGTGCGGTATTTGAACGGCTTCGGATGTTCAAGCTAAGAGACAACCGCGAAAAGTGCGTGTTCGCCAGAGACCGGCTCAAATACCCAGGTCACGTGATATCCAACGACGGTATATCCCCGGACGAAGATAAGGTGCGTGCTGTCCTAGAGATGAAAGAACCGAAAAATCTCTAGCAACTTCGTACCTTCCTGCAGACTTGCTCTTGGTTTAGAAAGTTTATACCAGAGTTTGCGAAGGTAGCTGAGCCACTTACGCGCCTTACCAAAAAGTCACAGATCTGACAATGGGGAAATGATCAGGCCAAAGCCTTCGTACATCTTAAGTCCCTTCTGGCTTCACCACCTATTCTTTTTCAGCCAGACTACTCGAAGCCATTCATCCTTAGGACGCCAGCGATTTTGCCCTAGGCGCAGCTTTACTCCAGGGGGAGTCTCCACAGGATGAACACCCAATCGAGTACGCGAGCCGTCTCCTCACGTCAGCCGCGAAAAATTATACCACTACGGAGCGGGAGGCGCTAGCAGTTGTTGGGGCCGTGGAAAGATTCCGTGGGTATATTGATGGTCACTAGGTAGTGGTCAGAAGTGATCATAAACCCCTGAAGTGGCTGTTATTCTCAAATCGCCTAGTGATAGGCTTGTTGTTGGGCTTTAAAGCTACAATCCTTTGGTCTTCAAATAGAATACACTCCCGGGAAGGCTAATATGCTAGCCGACACACTCAGCCGTCCAGTCATCTTGTTAGAATGTGGTGTCTGCCGCGTGTCTGTGGATGTTCCTCGTTGGGATGCTACATCAACCCGTGAAGCCCAGCTGGCTGATCCAGAAGTCTCCAAAATCTGCTGATGAATGATGATGAATGAGCTGTCAGTTCATCGGTGGTCAGAGAGGGGGTATCTGGTAAACCAAGGTGTTTTGTACCGGTACGTGGACGACACCTATACCGAGGAGTCTCAGCTGGTAGTACCTGAGAGTTTGCGGGGCAATGTTATGTTTGAGTGTCATGACTCGCCAACCGCTGCTCATGGAGGTATTCAACGGACTTTGCATCGTATATCCCAGCAGTTCTATCTCCCTGGTATAAGACGCTATATCACCGATTAACTGAAGACCTGCACTGTGTGTCAGCGGTATAAGTCTTCCAACTTGAAACCGTCTGGCTTACTCCAGACTCCGGTATCGGCTCAACGATTCGAGGTTATTGCCGTAGATCTCTTTGGGCCTTTACCCAAAGGACCTCAGGGTGAAAGGTGGATTTTGATAGTGGACGACACTGCTAGTAAGTGGGTCGAACTGTTTGCTCTAACCGAGGCCACAGCCGAAACCTGTGCGAAAACTCTTGTTAGTGAAATATTTATGAGGTATGGATTTCCTAGGTCTGATCTCCGATAACGGTGTCCAGTTTGTGGCCGACGTCATGCAGAAGACCCTTTTTGTCCTAGGTGTGAAACAGAACCTGGTGCCTTTGTATCATCCGGAAGCAAAACCGGTAGAACGAAAGAATCGGGACCTTAAAGCTCACCTTGCCATTCTCGTTGAGGGTAACCATAAGCAATGGTCTGAGGTATTACCTTTCGTCCGATATGCTCTTAATACCTCAGTCACCGTCTCTACAGATACCACTCCGGCTTTCTTGACATTTGGACGTGAGCTCCGTTCTCCTTTGTAGGTTCAGGCTAATCTACGGGCGGTCATCGAGTCTGAAAACTTAGTCCTTCAGATTACGCCTTACCTTTTGAAGCTTGCTGTCTCTCTCTTTAGGAAGCTAAGGAGAATATTGAACATCAACAGGATCTTCAGAAGCTCCAAGCCGATTCCAATGACTGCTCCATGGCGCAGTGGCTTAGCAATCAGTTGTTGCGCTGGGGGCCGCGGGTTCGAATCCCGCACGGAACAAGTATTTATCTGGCCTACAAATAATTGTTCCGAGTCTGAATGTTTGTCCTTGTGCAATTTATGTTTGTAAACTGCCTCCACGACACAGGAGAAAATCCTAATGTGGGGTAACGTTTTTTTTTTAAAAGAGAAAAAAACAAAAAAAATCGCCGTGATTCGGATCCATTAGGAGAAGGTAATCTCGTACTCATGAAGTCACATGTTCTGAAGTAATGCTGCTAAGGGTGTTACTTCTAAATTCATCCCGAAGCAGGATGGTCCGTATGTGATCTCCAAAAAGGTGAGTCCAACTACCTACCTTTTAACTTCGCAGAAGACTGGTGAAGTCGTTGGTAAGTATCATGTGTCGGATCTGCGTAAATACCATGACAGAGGTGGTGAAGAATGTCCAGAGCCGGTTGCTCCTAAGCGTTGCAGGGGTCGTCTTCGTAAGGATCGCTGCTAGGCGATAAGTATTAGTTTGACCATTCGTGATGTTCCCTCTTGGTCAAAAGGGGGAGTATGTAGCTTACCTATGTCACCCGATGTCTCGCTATCCCCTTTCATTCGATGCCCCGCCTCCGCCACGGGATCACGCCACTCGACCAAACCTTTGACTGCCGGTACAAGCAGTACGCTAGCTGACTAGCTCCGAGGTATATGTGTATTATTGATTGCTCCCGCGGTCGCGCTGCGTTTCACGAGACGCTGTTTATGTACTTACGTGTCAATAGTTGCCTATGTGTATATGTTACTGTTTAAGTGAATAAACTGTGCATTCGGATTATTTGTAACGTTTAAAAATATATCTGTATATAATATATGTGTAAATGTATGTTTTTTTTAATGTGTATTACCTCATTACTTTTTTCTAGGTGAAACGAGTTCGTTGATTTTTTTAATTTGAAAGCTGGTGCTTCGTCATGTGGTTCCATATAAATTTGACCTATATATTCTAACCAATAGTTTTTGAGTTATCCTTAATAATTTATATTGAAGTCAGTTGTACAAATTTTTTATTTTTAAATTATTGTCAATAATTGGCTCAACTCTTTATCAACAGAGAAACAAATTGAAAGCCAAAATTACTATTTCTTCAATCAGTCGACAAAAATATTGGACTATATAACAAATTAACTACATATTTGTGAACTTATTCCATATTTTTTTAATTACTGTTTTACACTACATTGTATATTATAAAATTATAAACCATAAACAACAGGACAATTTTTTTATTCATCTAATTCTAACCTATTAAATACATGTCCAAAAAACATCGCTAATAGCTAACATCGATGTTTTGAGTGGGATAAACATCGAACATCGATCTTGAGCTATCGATATCAACTAGAGATGTTACGGACGTTAGATTCCGATTCCGAAAGTTCGGAACTTCCGATTGATTTTGCACTTTCGATTCCGATTTCGATTCCGTTAAATTTTAATCGGAAGTTATATATCGGAGGTCGATGCACAGTGGTGGCGGCGGCCGCGATCAGCGTGTACCAACAATTTTATACTTGTCGCCCCGGGAAGCTCCCTCCCCCCGTGTCTTCTGTCTATTACTCTTTAAAGGCGGCTACTCACTTACCTGCCGCAGGAGCAATCTAGGGTGTAGGATTAGGGATGACCCTTAATTGCCTCCTTAACCCTTAGCCACCTAACGTGTATTCTAGTAACACTTCCACCTAACGTCGGTCATGGACACCGCTTGCATATAAGTAAAGGTGAAAAAATCATAAATTGGCAAAAATCGAAACTACAAAAAAATTTCAGTTGTTTTTATTTCAAATTGTTTCAATAAACTCTTCAAATTAATACTTCTTACTTCTTATTACTCTTAATAAAAATTGACTAACGAATATTTTAACAAATTATAGGTTTTCCAATTAAGCTGAGTTCTAAGCAATAACATACAATGAGACTTCTTAGTTTTTAAATATTTTAGTAACTTAAATAACCTCTTATATAAAACTATGATTGGTACAATTAAATCACAATCGTTACAAAATTACAACACCCTAACATTCACAATTTCTCGCGGCAGCGTCCACACATTTTTTGAGAACACTCAACGCAAATTGGATTTTTGCACTGAAAACACAAATGGAATGTTTTACGTTTCTTCTTTGGGTCACACGTTGAACAAGTTTTGCGTATTTCTAATTTGTCAGAGCTGTCTGCCGAAGATGTTCTAGGTTCTTCATCTATTTTGAGAACCCGGCGAATAGCGTTCTGAAGTTCTCTTTGCAATCCAAACTGGTTCGCTCGACGTCGTAAATGGGGTGTAATAAGGTCTTCAGCCAGTTGTTTCATGAAATTTAGTCTGGGCACCTTTCTCTGAGATTGGTTCATGCTGCTAATGATGTACGCATTTGCTGCAGAAACATCCAGCATTCTGTAGAAGACCGCCATTGGCCAGCGCTGTGTGCATCGAGAATTGAGTAAATGGCACATTTCTGATCTAATGTATCGACGCCACCTTTGGTGCTATTATAAAAAATAATCATTTCTGGCTTTTGCTTTTGTGGATCGATGATTGTGCTTTTGTGGACGATCGATTTGTGGTCGGTGAGTGATGCATTCTGGAATAGAATAGAATAGAATAGAATGATTTTTATTCAATATGGATTATTACATAATACTTATTGAATTCATTTCATTCATTGTCATTATTTTATTTACCACTGGTTCGGAAAATACCTCTGTCCTGGGAAGAACCAGCAAGAAACCCAGCGGGACTTTTATTAAAAAATAATTTCACTTAACAATAATTTTGTTTATACAATTTTAAATGAATTTTCATAGAACCAGCATGGTGGCGATCACCTTATTCCCAGGGGTTATTTTCTTTCATCTATTCCTTGATATTATAATAACCCTTTTTGTACAGTTTTTCTTTAATAAAACTTTTAAACTTGTCTATTGACAAACTTTGAACATGTTCTGGGATTTTGTTGTAAAAGCGTATACATTGCCCCATAAATGAATTACTAATTCTGTGGAGTCTAATAAGTGGCATTACAAGCTTATGTTTGTTCCTAGTGTTTAAGGTATGAACATCCTTATTCTGGAAAGAACAAGCAAGGAACAAGAACAAGGATTTGTTTTGCTTTGGTACAAAAGATAGCAATGTTGCATCTAACGTGAATCCAAAAATCGAAGAGCCAACGTCCCGATGACGCTAGGTAGGCTAGGCAGAAATTGAGGAGGTACTTCCCTTTTATTTTTTTAAGGGTACCCACAAGTGTCAGCTGTTTTTGCTTTAGGATGTTCGTTAGCTCCACCGAAGTGAACCAGTTATCAGTCCTTACATTTCTGTGGGTTCCTTCAATCGACGCAACCAATCGCAAAACCGCTTGCATGGGTTTGTTCAGTCTTTGGTATTCAATGGGCAAGCCTTGGCTATCTGAGTCTTTTCCCAAGTATATGTAGGCATCCACAAGGTATCCGTTTTTGGCATCGGTCATGCACATAATTTTTAATCCATATTTATTGGGTTTTTTCGGCATGTACATGTTGAAGCTGCACCTCCCACGGAAAGTCACCAACATCTCGTCAATACAAGCGTAACTGCCAATCGAACAAACTTCTTTGCAGTTTTGTATCAGGTTTTCAAATATCTGAGATATAGGTACAGCTTTATCGGTGCTACGGCGTTCATCTCTGGTGCTCGCATCATCAAAACGAAGGCAATTCAGCAATGTTTCGAACCTGTTCTTGCTCATTATACAACGATAAATCTCTCGTCCTGTACCATCTGTGCTGTACCAACATGTGTGTGTGGTTCTCTTTGAAAATTGAGGTATAGTACAACATACCGATAAAAGCCTTCAGCTTAATTACGTCAAGGTCTTGAACACATGTCTGGTTTTGTTAGTTAGGTCTTATCTTTCTAATTTTTTCGTTAGTATGCTTTACAATTTCTTCTAACATATCATCAGTAAAAAATAAATGCCATAAATCGGATGATGTTGTATTACTGTTCAGAACATCTCTGAAGTTCCTTTTCAATCCTGAAGGTTGCTGAACGATGTTGTGTTGCAAAGTCCTTGATCGTGAAACTGGAGGTTGAGACAACCAACGGAACCGATTTTTTCCGAAATAGTTCCGGTATCTTGACAATGGAACATCATCATCGGAAGATGCATCATCAACTGGCAGATATATGTATCGTCATATTCATTTAACTCTTCAACATCAATTTCAGAGTTTGATTGACACTCACCATCAATGACGTGGTCTAATGGTACAGATTCTACATCACTGCAGTCTTCATTTGGTAATTCCGGCACGTCCCTTTCATCCTCGGAATCTAATTCACACTCTTATAACCATCTAATGATATTTTGATCACGTTCAGACATGATAAACCTAAAAAACAACACGAAAATGTTAGCACTAAAAGTAACGTAACAACCTAACGTCGGTCACCATGACCGCATGCGAAATATATTTACCTGTATTTTTTTATTGCGCGCACGTGTTGCTTGGTCGAGCGCAGGGCGAAAACTGGAGAGGGCGTGGAAAAAGTACATAGAGTCACAGGCGCGTGGCCCGTGTAATAACGGAAATATTTGAAAAAATATATCGCCTGGAGTCACTGTGACCGACAATGTGAGTACAAGTTACAATGGATACCAATAAAGAATGTGAAATTTTGACACTGGTAATAGGAGTCCTTTTTATATTTATTTTTTTACAGAAAGAATTTTAATTTAAACGTTGAACGTTTTCAAATGTGGTAGAGTTATGCTGCAGCTTTAAAGGACTATATTATGGTGGTAATTATTAATTAATTAGTTGTTTATTCGATAAATATGGGTGTCTATGGGCCACAGTATCTACATACTATCTAGTGGACAGTGCTCATTTGTCATCCTCATTTGATATAAAAAAAATAGCCAAAGCTGTATATACCGATTCATTGATATTTCGATAAAACTGGCGCCATTCTCAATGCGTGTGTCCAGTGAGACGTACACTCTCATACTGCACTGAACGGCAGGAATGTGTGTAGAGACAGTTCTGATATTGCCTCGATCGCTTTTCATCCTAGATTGCCCATGCGGTAGGCAAGTGAGTAGCCGCCTTAACTCGATGTTTTGTTTCGTATTTGGCAATTGGCGTGTTGTGCGTTCGCGCTTCATTTGTACTTATCCGAGTTTTTGATTAGTTTTAGTAGTGTTTTATTTGACGTTTAACAATTTCAATTGGACAATGAAGTCAAGTGCCATTTGGAATTATTTCAATGAAGTTTCTGAGAATACGGCAAAGTGTAAACTATGTTAGAAAATATATTCACGAAAGAGAGGTACGACTACTTCCTTAAAAAGTCTATTTAAAGTCTGTGCATGCTACTGAATTTGAAACTTAAAAAAAAATACAGTGCAATACTCCTGTCCTTAACACATCTCTTCTGCTTCCACCTCCGATTCCGGTTCCGATTTCGGTTCCGGTTCCGATAAACAAAATTAAAAACTCCGCTTCCGAATTCGGTACCGATATAACCACTTCCGTAACATCCCTAATATCAACATCGATGTCATCATCGATGTTTCTACAACATCGATTATCCCTAGCGACTGGCTCGGGTACGCCGACTTCGGCGTAGTATTTGTGCGCGATGACTTATCAATAGTCTAAGGGTTTGGGTTTGGAAGGGAACTCTACCCTCAATGATATATATTAAAGAGTAATGTTGTGTCAATAATATATACAGGAGAGTCGTGTGATTGCGTTTTAGGAACTTAATAAATAAAATACGCTCCAAACTAGTCTGTATGGTCTAAGAACTATGCCTATCGAACAATAGTAACAACACTGACAACTGTCAATGAACTGTCACTGTCACAATGTTGTGTGTTGACTTGTGGTGTTTATGAATAATAACATTTATCTCTAAATTATTTTATGAAATATAACATAATTTGTGCTGTATTATACCTTAAAATTTATTAAACTGTTATTTAATCATGTAGATAAAACATAAAAGTTAGTTAAAATCATTATTATTTCTCAAAAAATGACTTCTCAATGTTTCATTATGTGCGTTAATAAAAGAGAAGCAGGTATAGGAGACGCAAAACCTCCAGTTGCAAAAGAAAAAATTATGTCTTACGAAGAAAAATCTGTGGGATCGACAGTGTTCTTTAAATGTGAAGCATGTCCTTTTATGGCACTAGCTGAAGATGATATTAAATTTCATCTTTTTACTATTCACCCAGATTTAGCCAAAACAAATGGACTTGCTGACAATATACAGATATCTTGTCCAGGTTGTACCAGTGTGTTTGATGCAGAAGAAACCCTTAGGACTCACCTTCGCAATCATCATAAAATGGGCATCAAAGATGTGAAAAAAATGGTAAAAAGTTTAGTTCAAATAGCCCTTAAAAATGCAAAACTAAAGAAGGAAGAGAAGCCAAGCGACGATTCAATACCTTCAAATACTCATAGGGCAGATGTTAAAATGCCACAAGTTATTGAAATAATTCCTGACATCATTACTCCAAATAATGAATCTCTCCCAAAAGGTGTTGCTTACATATCAGTTGATGAGTTGAATAATATGAGTACACCAAATTTTGAAAAAGTAGATCCAAAAGAAGTAATTCAGGAAGCAAGTATCAATATAGTGTATAGTAATGAAGTGTCAACTCAATATGTAAATGTATCTGATACAGAATCATCAAATACAACTTGCAATGTTATTCAATTATCAAGTGTTACTCCAGATCTCATTTCATCTATACAACCACATGTTACAACTGTTCTAGATAGCAATTTATCTTCACCAAAGACTAATAACGATAATGAGACCTCACAACTTATTAAACCTCAATCACCAACAATTGTGAATGAGACAAGTGTTCAAATCCTAAATTATTCACATAAATATAAAGATACTAAAGTGCAGACGAACAGTGACACAGAAATGAAAAATGTGATACATTGTGCTATTGATGGATGCTTTGTTCGTTTAAAAGATGAAAAAAATATGTTGTATCATAAAAAATGTCACCTAAATGGAAAACTCCAGTGTCCAGAATGTGGTAAAATTTGTCCCGCAATTGATACAATGCACACACACTTGTGGAAGTTGCATGCTGTGGACATGGAATTGCCAACATGTGAAATTTGTGGTTTTAAAACGTACAAGAAGCATAGACTCTATAATATTCATATGAAATGTCATGGAAAACTTAGGGCATATAAATGTGAGATTTGTTTTTTATCTTTAATACTATAATATATACATTTAATTAAACAGTTGACTGCTGAATACGGGTCTCTCCCAGGCTTAATACGCCTAGTTACACTTGTGGTTGAAATTTGACCAATTGTGTGAAAACAATACTGAGTATCTGCATAACTTTGTTTTGTTATGGGTGGCTTCAAGTTGGCCAATGAAGGCAGGCTAAGCTCTTAGCCATACAGCCTAGTTTTTTCGTATATATTCTTCACTAGTAATGCTGATGTATGTCATTGCAGTTTTTTGGAGATTTTGACAATAGCATCATAAATAAAAGAGCCATGGTAACTCAGATAGTTAGCACTCGCTGTAAGTTTCACATTACGCGAGAGACCCGGGTTCGATCCCTGCCAACACCAATGAAATTGTTAATTGCAATTTTAAGTGCTGATTTACTACATGCTCGGCGCATCGTGAGGAAACCTGCATGTCTGAGAAATAAAAAAGAAAAATATTTCGAAGACATTTGCCAACATGATAAACTTAATTAAACAAAGTGTGTAAAAAAGGGTTATTATAATATTAAGAAATTTATGGATGATACTAACCCCTGGGAACGAGGTGATTGCTACCAAGCTATTTCTAATTTGTTTTGTGTGGTTAATATTGTGATTACATGATTGTAAGCGGTTATTTAAAAAAAAAAGTCCCGTTGTGTTTCTTGCTGGTTCTTCCCAGGACAGAGGTTTTTTTTCGAACCAGTGGTAATTAAACAAAAGAGTGACTTTCAATTATATAATTCAATATAGATATAATACTTATATATAATCTATATTGAATTATAAAAAAAGTTTCTGTTTCACGCATAGGGGCAGCACGGCAGACATTTCCTTGCCCTAAAACAATCTCAGAAATGAGAGGAGGCCTGCCCTGTAGTGGGACATATAGGCGGTAACTAACTTTTTTTAATATAATTTTGAGAACAAGTCTTACTTCATATATTCACTTTTATTACTGTTTTAAAAATTTTTAAGGATCCCTTGAGCATTTCATTAGGTATCTTGTCCGGCCCTGGGGCTTTCTCGAGTTTTTGGGATTTTATTGCCTTGATTCGACCTCTGATGTAAGGATTTCTGGCACTTCAATCTACTTTGTTTTCTCTTACTTCATTTACTTCCGGAATTGTGGCCATCCCTGAATCAAATTTATCTGAGTACAATAGGCGGTAATAGTCCATAGCTAGTTTCTGTATTGAGAGTCGATTAGTTGAGTAGGATTCGCGTTACTTTAGTTTCGCTATCCATTCTTTCCCATGTTCGCTTAGTTGTTTCATAGCCTTTTTAGTTCCTCCTGTTCTTTTTATATTTTCTTCCAAAACTCTATTTCTTTTCTCCTTACGGTCTTTCCTCATATTCTCCTTAATTTCCTTGCTAAGGGTTGCAATTTTTTGGCTTCTTTCTTTGTCCTCTTTATTTGATATTAGTGTTCTTTCGTCTAATAGTTCTAGTGTCTCTTTACTTAAATAGCTTCCTTTCCTTTTGGGTTTGCTGACTAGCATCTCTTTGAATTTGTTTTGTAGTCTCCTGTATTTAATCCCAGTTTCCGCATCGGAGGTAATAATTTCATTGAGTGATTCTGTTGTGCGGGAATTAGTGGAATGATTGCGTTCTGATATTTGATACAGCTTATTAGTGTTTACTAGGTTATTCCTGGATATTTTGGGTTGGTTTAAGTTTAGGCAACTTCTTACCATGCGGTGGTCTGTGTTAAAGTTGAGGTTTTTAACTATGTTGGTATCTGTGAACGCACTTGCTTTGTTGGTTATAATAAAGTCAATTTCAGTTTTGAATTTTGCGCCTGGGGAGTACCACGTCCATTTGCTTTTAAGTTTTTTTGTTAAATGAGTTCATTAAAATAAGGTTATTTTCCATCATGAATTCTACTAATTTCTGTCCATTTTGGCTTCTTTTGCCATGCCCAAACTTCCCGATTGAGGATTCTTCTCCAGTTTGCCTTTCTCCAACCTGTGCGTTAAA